GCTTTATTGCGTACAAAAAATTACTTGCGGTAAATATTGACGATCTGAAAAAGTATATGCAAATTCGCTTTTATTCGTGTCAAATGGTTCGTTTTTCTCTGTAACGTTGCTCGTTTGTTTGCCATCGTTCACGTGAATTTTTTCCTGGTGGAAATGGAGTCAATATTATTGACACTATCACAAAGCCACTAAATTTCGATCCCATCGAAATAATTTGTATGCGAAATATACGAATAATAAATTATCAATTTTTCCTGTTTATATATGCTTTGGTTACATCGTGGCGGCCATAATCATTATAATTTTCGTTTTTTTTGTTCCCTATTGTTCACCGTTCCAATCCAAAAGTTTGCAAACGAATAAATTGGATAACAACAAATTCTAACATCTACCATTTCTCATTTTGCTTCATTTCATTTGCATTTTTTCCATCAAACTCATAATGCGTGCTAATGTATGTGCCATCATTTAAATACTTTAGATTATTGTTTCATTCACAAAATCGTTCACTTTATTTGGAAATGTTTGTATTTAAATTTGCCGTTGTACGACAACTAATTCAGCGTAGATATTTTTGTTATCTACTTCGGTGGGATAGACAACTGAGGATGGCTGATGTGCGTGCATTGACGACAACAACAAATATCCTTGAATAAACAATAAACTGCGGCATTATTGATGAGTGGGTGATTTATTTTAGTTGAGATTGCGCACACATTCGAAACGACAAGTTGAGTTTTGAGAAACCAAAAATACTTTTTTCATTCCAATTGAGACATTTCCCTTCTAATTTTCTGACAGATAAAAAAGGTAATGAAAACAAACCACACTGTATCACTCGACAAAAAAGTTTCAGGGATAATTTTCGACTCTATCAATTTCAAGAGTGAAATTTGAACGTCCTTCTATTCCATTCTTGCACGGAGTATTCATTCACCTGGCGCCATTGGTTATGTGTCGAAAGTGAGTCGGCAACTTTGTGTTGAGGCCGGATTTTGATATCGGTTGGTAAAAAGTTTTTAGTTTAGTCAAAAGGTCAACCATTTTGGTGTGCCTTTCGAACAATTCACGCCATTTGAAGTTGTTTTGTGGAATGTTTACATTTGGTGTTGAATAAAATCAATGTTTTGGAGGTTTTAGTGTCATTGCTTTTACTGGTTGTTGTTTCTTTCTCTCAGTATCCTCGGTACTTGCAGTATGCTTCGTTTTTATATTTTTATTTCACAATTCAACACGACTTAGATAGGGGAAAAGCGTTGCAGAAAAAATGAAAATTTACGAGACAATAAAGCCAGAAGAAATGTGCACATCTGATATTTGAATGTACTTTTTGTGCTGTAAGACATATCGCGCACAATGAAAATAAAATAGAACACAGGAAAAGCATTATAAAATTAACCAACGAAAAATATAAATTTGTTTGGCTCTTTCGTTTTTTTTTTCTTTTTCGTTTTTTATATTCGTATTCGTATTTATATTGCTTGGCCATATCTTGGTTTCTTGTACAATTTCATACTGCTGTGTGAACGCTGTATCTTAAATGTTGCTTTCACCAACATCAAATGATATATGGAATAGCGTAATCTAATGACAATGTATCCATATATCCCGCGTTGTGTAAAATGAATGCATGAAGAAAAAACAGCCCACAGAACATACACAGACAACCATCACCGCACGCACTCATGCACACAAAATACGGATGCTAAAGCCGCTGACTGGAGTATTAGTGGTGTTGTCTGCTATCCAAGAATTTTTCGGTGAAGGCGGAAATAAAACATATTTCGGCTAGGTTCAGGATGCTTTTCACCAACCGCTGTTATGTTGAGTTGAACAACGAATTCCACTATATGGATATTTTTGAATCGCATTTATATCTATTTCAATTTAAATATCTTTTTACTACGCTGAGTGCTTTCCCATCTTGCGTGCACTTTTGTCTTTTACAGCAGCAACAGCGGTGGCAAGCACATATACTGGTTGGTGTCGGTATTTATTATCCTCGTTGCTTTTTGGTTTAAAATTCGGACTGCGTTCGTTCTCGACACTTGGTTACCGCTACAATATGAATTATAGAGCGCAGGAATAACTGATGCATTTGAAACGGTCCAAAACCTCACTGAAGATGATATTACACGATTCTTTCATTTTTCTTACACCTCCACGCAATTCGATGCTGTTACAACCATAAATGGCTGCAGATTTTGTGGAAAAATCAACCGATGAAATTGGTCTAGAAATAATCTTCGTCCTCTTTGAAACCTGTATCAAGATTGGAATTAGCATTATTTTCAGTTCATGGGCATAAACTATCTTAAAAATATGTTGTCCACAGTAAACTCTCTTGCAATTTAACCAATGATGAAGTAAATATGTATTTTTCATATTCAACATTCAGAATTTTAATGCATAGTATTTAAATAATAATTTCTGTTGATTGTAACAAGTTCGTAAAATGCACCAACTATTTCAGATCAAGAGATTGAAATATTTGTTAAAATTGGATTTTAAATGCGGTGATGGATGTGACTTTCAAACATTTTCTTTGTTCCATTTAAAATCAAATGCTTAAGGAATTTAATCTAAATTTCATATCATACGGGGAAAAAAAATTCATTTTCATTCTGAACGTATATTACGTTTTTATTTAAGCTTTGAAGTCAGACATTTAATCGCATTCTAATTCACTTTCAATGATAAATCCTAGACGAAGAGCTCTCTTCAAAGAATTAGACTTAGACACAGAAATTTTCAACTTTTCATGAAGAAATTTTCTTTTCAAAATATGTACGATTAATTTTCATGCATAGGCTGTATTGTGGTAATATGATATGGCGTGACTTTTTGCAGCTAGTCAAACTCCAAGACTGAAACTAATGAGGTGAAAAATATAATGAACAACGTTGAGGTAACTGATATTAAGCAGCTTAATAGCGGTGTTGTAGATCGGAGAAACATTGTCTATGAAGTCGGAGAAATTAAGCTTTGCACGGAGGGGAAGCAAAAAGCTTATGGAGAGAAACTGAGCTACTCGACTGCTCTCCACGCAACTCAATCAACACACAAAAACGGTGGAATTTATAACCTAATTCTTTTCATAAAAATGGCTTTATTAACTTTTCCGTCATAGAATTATGGTTATTATAATTTAAATAAAAATATGGTCTGAATGAAATTTGTTTATTCGTTGAAATATTGTTTGATTTATATGCACGCAATTGATTTGTATTGTTTTGTAAAAGCATTGGCCAATATGAAGCGATTGCAAATTGACTATGTGCGCCACAGGTATTAAAAAAAAAATTCTTTTTGAAGTGCGTGTGTGTTTGGTGCAAATACGTTAAGCTGTTAGTGACATGTTGGCTATAAACAAGCTGTGGTTTAATTACAGAGTGCGTTAAAAGCCAATGCAAACCAGGCACAGACAATGCACAGCACACACACATAGAAATATATATATACATGCGCATATCATAGTGAATGCAATAAAAATTTTGGGTACAAAGACACATTGGATGCTCTAGGTATTGTTACCGAGCTGACAATAAAAACTTTGCACTTGCAAATGCAATATATTGTGTATCCATTCGAAAACTCGACATACTCTCGTGTACACATGTGAAAGAAGTGGTGGTGATGGTGGTTTTCCCAGTCACAATGTGCACTGCATTATCCGTTCATAATTCACATAACTCCATTCGGAATTTACAGTGGATGTATGTATATGTGCGGAGATTTTCTATACACACAATAATGACGCCATTGAAGTCAAGAACCGAAAATGAAGTGGAAATTGTCATATTCACTTATAATTATAATATCACCCTCGAATCGATCACATTCCAATGTGACGTGTTTGGAATCGAATATTTCGGATACAAAACCATGATATGTTCGATAAAATACACACGTTGCGCGTGTATATCCCTTTCCAATGCAAATGTCCAGTACAACCGAGTAATATTTTGTCACAGAATGCGGATACAATCGATTATATTATGAATGTCATCATCGCGACCACCGCACTTCAAGTGAATTAACATCATTCCACCTTTTGATTTATATCACGTTAATAGTAGAACACGAAACACCCGCACACTGCAGTCATGGCCATCAATTTTAGAAAATTTCAACTACAGCGACGACACTTCGACATATTTATTATTCGGAAAATAAGTGGATATCCCCACACACGTACCAGCAGAAAATTAGGCATTTCAGTTGGAAAATGTGAGCAAAATTGGGGGTTGAATGCTGGTTCCAGTGTATTTGAACCACGACTGAAATGTTCTACCATGCACTTGATTGTTTGTCCAAATCCATTGCACTTCGTTGTGTGATGCACAGTTATTGGTCGCGTAATTAATTGCATTAATCGGGTTGATTCAACCCAAAGCCACTCTTACATACTCTCTTTTCATCTCTACACACTTTTAGCAACGATTTCTCCTTAGTATCATTGCGTTGCTCTGGCATTTCTTCTTACAACAAATAAAATTTACATACTAAAATCCAACCAATGTTCAACTCTGAATTGATGATCGATATATTTAATACCTACTCGAGGTTGACTTCGAAAATTCAACAATCAATTTCGTTCGCTTGAGTTCGCTCTTCTTTTGTTTGTATGAAAATGTGGAAAATTTTCCATGAATTTTCTTCACAAAAGCATCGTGTATTGATGGCCTCAGGGCGCAAACAACGTTGCGATTTTCTCTTTGATGCAAATGGATTATTCCAAGTGCTTAGCTGTGTTGATATTTTCGTCTTTAGATAAATCAACAACATTTCAAAAGAAAAGAGTAAGGAATCGATTTTCAATTTGCAGCAACGAAAGTATGTTTTGGAAACGAAGACTTTTGAAGTTGACATAAGCTTTTGTCGCTATATGATTGGATAATTGCATGATCTTTAAAACAAGTAACACCTAGTACAGTCTCCATACAAAACACGTATATTCTTGTACTTGAATGGGTCATATATGTGAGTACAACAAAGTGGATTGTAAACAGATTGATTGAAATTTTGGTTTTATTCTCACTTTTTTTCAAACAAATGTCTTTTGGTATGAATATTTCAGAAAAATCATATTATATCTATAGTCTGTTCAGTCAAACACGATGCCTTGCGCCAAAGGCAATTCTGAAGAATAATTTAGTGTGATGGTTGACCGTTTACAATATTGTTTCCAGCTGTCTGATCCGGATTCTCGGCCACCGCCCGTATGTTTTTCTCCTGGAAATTAGGAAACATTTTTTTAAAAGTGAATTCAAATGAACATAATTTAAACTAAATAGTTTCTCACCGCCAAAAGCACCGCCAATTTCTGAAAATGTAAAAGTATATGAAAATAAAAAGTTTCATGTGAAATATTTCTCATCCATTCTTACCTGCTCCGGATGGTGACGTGTTAACATTAACAAGGCCGCAATCAGATCCATTTGGTCCAATCCACTGCACGAAAAAACATGTACAAATTAAAAATATCTCCAAATTCTTCCTAATTTTTACCATAAGTTATCTCACTTTGAATACTGATGAAATGTTTGTGGAGAAGAGTGCTGATGAAAGACCTTGTTTCACCTCGTTATTCCATTCTATGGCTTGGTCCAGACTTTCTGCTTTCAATACGTAAACAATTGGAGCGAATGTTTCCTTTTGAATGACGTCCGCGTCGTGTGGTAAATTGGTGATGATTGTGGGCTCAACAAAAAATCCTTCTCTATCAATTTCTTTCCCTCCACATTCGATAATGCCACCCTGTTCAATTGCTTCGGCAATTGTATTCTTGTAGTTATTTACAGCGATTTGATTATGCAACGGTCCATACAAAGTCGTCGATTCAAGTGGATGGCCCACTCGTTTGAGCAACTGTAACAAATAGCAAATAATAAAATGTGAAGTACATTCCAGTACACACAGTACTTACGCTTTTGTATTTCTTTTTCAATTCTTTCAAGAAATCATTGTATAATTTCTCGTGGACGATAAGACGTCGAGTGGTTGTGCATCGTTGTCCAGCCGTACCAATGCACCCAAAAAATGCAGCATCCAAAGCATTTTCGAAATGTGCGTCCTCATTTATAACCAAAGCATTGTTACCACCTAGTTCAAGCAATGATTTTCCAAAGCGTTTCTGTACATCTACAGCTACTTCACGGCCCACCGCAGTGCTGCCAGTGAAGCTCAGCAAATTGACTCGTTCGTCTCTTGCCATTGATTTACCAATATCAACACCACCTTGGCAGAGAGTTGCTACCGATGGTAAATTATTTCTTTCAAAAACCTCGGCAACTATCTTGGTGGTTGCAACTGAAATCAATGGCGTTGAGTCAGCCCCTTTCCACAGAACACTATTACCAACTGTAAGAGCAATTGCAGCATTCCATCCATAAACTGCACAAGGAAAGTTGAACGCACTAATAACACCGACCAAACCAAGGGGTCGCCATTTTTCCAAAATAATATGCTTCGATCGCTCCGATGGAATCACTTGGCCAGCAAAAGTACGCGATAGTCCAACGGCATAGTCACAAATATCGACGAATTCTTGCACTTCACCAATTCCCTCTGGTAAAATTTTACCCATTTCTACAAGAATGCAATGGAATCACATCATTTGAAACTTTTTCTCTAATTGCAAATACAACAAAAACTATTCCTTTTTCTCATTTTAATACATGCCCAATGAAACTAATTTTCCCAATGGTTCCCGTTTTTTCCTTAGCTCATCACCAATTTGACGTACTATTTCACCACGACGAGGTGCTGGAACATTACTCCATGTTTTATACGTGTCAACGGCTACTTTAACACATTCATCATATTCCTGGCTGGTGGCACTTGTAACCTCGGCGATAACTTTACCCGTCGCTGGATCTATTGAGTCGAAATTAAATATTTGAACACAAATTTTGAATTAACTTCCAAAAAATTACCTATTGATTTAACAGCCGGCCCTGAACCAACCCATTTTCCATTATAAACACCAGCATTGGTGCGTTCTAATTTCAGTTCATTTTTTAGAAATGAATATTTTGGATCATCGACCAGATAAGACATGGCTCTTGATTGAATATTTACAGCAATCCTCTTTATTTGATTGCATACTTTCAGCTTTGAACACAAAAGCATTGGGCTAGGGAAAAAATAATTTTGCAAATAAGTGTTCAAGTCATTATAAATAATGCTATCATCGACGTTATCTTAGCTCTGAACAAATATGTGATGCACACAGAATACATATGTTAGTTAAATTTCGAAATATTTCCGTTTAAAATTATTGCAATTATATAATATCTATATTAATTTGTCAAAAGGAAAATAAACAACTCCCAATTACTTATGCGTAACAGATTAATCAAACATGCCTCAATATTTGCCGATTAACAATGAAAATATACTCACGTTGACATGATTTAGGCCGATTTCTTACACACTTCTGTTGCTTTCACGCTGGCTGTTGCTGTGAAAATGATTGCTTCAATGCGAAGTGGAATCTGCTTCACACGACGACGCTATTAATAATAACTCATTTTGAATCGAATGCTTTGGACGATGTTTCATTTTCAAAGTGATAACAGATAACCGAATCTTGTTGAAAACTCGTTTTGATGATACGACAACTCATTCGTAAAGCCATTTGTAAATAAAACGAATTACATACGTAATCCAAACTTTTCCGCTCCGCAGCAATTTAGTTTACCTCCCGCTTAATGTTTAACCAAAATTTCAATGGACCCTTTTTTCATAGCATTTTTGACCTTAAAATATAACTATTTCGACCATTTTCCATACAAAAGTGTCATTTTCGAACGAAATTTCAAAAATTTCAAGAAATGTTGATTTCGGACCAAATTTATGGGCAAGTAGGTGTTCGGTTGTTTGAAGGCTCCCATTATTTTTGCAAAAAAACATCAGTTTGCCTTGACCAAAACCCTAAAAAATGGCTTTCTGTGTGATTTTTTATACAAAAGTCTATTTTTCGAGGAAAATTTCAAGAAATGTCGATTTTGGACCAAATTCATGAGCAAGTAGGTGTTCGGTTGTTCACAGACTCCCATTATTTTTGCAAAAAAATGGCAGTTTGCCTTGATCGAAACCCTGAAAAATGCTTTTTTCGGGTACTTCCCGTAAAAAAGTGTCATTTTTCAAGGTTTTTCAGGTCCTCAGTCGGAGGCTTAAGGTACGAAATTGGTAAATCAGAATGGGCTCAAAATCAATCCGAAGCTTTGTCTCGACATGCCAAAACTTTTGGCTTTTACAGATCTCAATTATCTTGTCAACTTTTTGAAATAATTGGCGAACAAAAAGCTCGGACGAGGACGCGAACGACGCCATACGCACATCGCTATTTTGCACATTTTTCATAGTAAACAACATGTTTTTGGCGGTAGATAGGTCTTGATCGATAGGATTTGATCCCAACTACATTGCCTAGTGTGCAGATATGTGCTTTTTCAAGTTTGGCGTGACGTTATAGTGGTCCGAAAGAGGAGATGTCATGAAATTTTGGCTAGTAAAACCAAAACTTTTCCATACAAACAAAGTTTGCGGAAAAGTAATAAACAACAAATTATAGCAAACAGAGAAACAGATAATGAATGCGTTCAACTGATAACCATAGAAAGTAATCAGTAATTTCTTCTCATCGTAAAAACACTTCTTATACGCGCTTTTTATTACCGCTTCACAACAATATTTCTTAGATGCTATCTAATCAATTTTTGTCAACATTTATATTAAGTAGATTTCCTACAACAAATTAAGTACACTTGAAAACCTTGCAACTGCTACGAAAATAACAATTTACAGGGTTTTCGTATTTTTAAGGCCAATGACTGTTATAGAGACTGTTTTTCGTTTTTTTTTAAAATTAGCATGTCACTTTAAACAACAGAACCAATGTAAACAAATCTTTTTTGCTTACTAGTTAATTCTTATTCAATTATAGTATTTATTATTCCATTATTAATAATAATGTAATTAATACTTTTAATAACATTGTTAAATCTTATATATATACAGTCATGGACTAAATTGAGCGTACGACTGCCAGAAAAATGTATCGCGGACTATTTCATGAACCTAATTTATTTTTTTCAATCAATTCTTTACACTGTTTGTTGCGTAATTATGTGAACTAATAGTAACCGAGAGAATTTTGAATTTTTTTTTTGGATTTTGTGATTTTTATTGAAAAATGTAGATGAATGTCATTTTTGTGCTGGACAAAATTGAGCGTACGGTCCGTTTAATATTTGTTTAAATAGAGAAAATTCATGGAAATTGAAAAAGTGGGGATACAGTATGATGCACAAGCTCATGTTGCTTCGAAATGGTATATATGTTTTGCTCCACCGAACCGTTGTTTGGGAAATGGAGACGGTTAAACTTTTTTTTTATTTTTCACTTTTATCACCTTCAACACATATGAATATTTCTTGAACCAAGAATGATATTGAAGCATCTTAACCGGCGTTTGAAAGCTTGAGGTTAGACCAATGAAATCCAATAATAACCAACCAAATATTTCAAGTACTTTAAAAGATACAGCCGTGAAAGTATGACAGCTGATGTCAAAATAGCGCCATTTATTTGACATTTGAGGTTATAACTCACAAATGGTAAATTATTTTGACATCTTGTCTTGACCAAATTTACTCTACTCATCAAGTGCTACAACTATGCTGAACATGTCGATCCCAAAAACTAACTCCCTTAAAAAATAAACGCTGAAGTACCACAATGTGGAGTCCATGTAGTATACTCTTATATGGATCATTTCGTATTAACGGATTTTTGGCTGACAAGATGTTGTTTTTTTGTTAGAAAATATTGAGCAAATTTCCAGTTCTTGATGTGAACAAAAAATTATCTCTTCTAGTCATCTCCAAAAAACAACATCTTGTCAGCCAAAAATCCGTTAATATGAAATGATCCATATAAGAGTATACTACATGGACTCCACATTGTGGTACTTCAGCGTTTATTTTTTAAGGGAGTTAGTTTTTGGGATCGACATGTTCAGCATAGTTGTAGCACTTGATGAGTAGAGTAAATTTGGTCAAGACAAGATGTCAAAATAATTTACCATTTGTGAGTTATAACCTCAAATGTCAAATAAATGGCGCTATTTTGACATCAGCTGTCATACTTTCACGGCTGTATCTTTTAAAGTACTTGAAATATTTGGTTGGTTATTATTGCATTTCATTGGTCTAACCTCAAGCTTTCAAACGCCGGTTAAGATGCTTCAATATCATTCTTGGTTCAAGAAATATTCATATGTGTTGAAGGTGATAAAAGTGAAAAATAAAAAAAAAGTTTAACCGTCTCCATTTCCCAAACAACGGTTCGGTGGAGCAAAACATATATACCATTTCGAAGCAACATGAGCTTGTGCATCAAACTGTATCCCCACTTTTTCAATTTCCATGAATTTTCTCTATTTAAACAAATATTAAACGGACCGTACGCTCAATTTTGTCCAGCACAAAAATGACATTCATCTACATTTTTGAATAAAAATCACAAAATCCAAAAAAAAATTCAAAATTCTCTCGGTTACTATTAGTTCACATAATTACGCAACAAACAGTGCAAAGAATTGATTGAAAAAAATAAATTAGGTTCATGAAATAGTCCGCGATACATTTTTCTGGCAGTCGTACGCTCAATTTAGTCCATGACTGTATATTCAACAAAAGTGTACGTCATTGGCATTGAATATTATTATTATTCTTTTTGTGTTTGAAACAATATCCAAGAATATGTCACATGTGAAGAAAGTTTCACATTTGTTTTTAGGTATTTGCTTTTAATAAAAGTGTAGAATGAAAAAAAGTTTTTGTTTGTGAATATACTTGTAAAGCCTCTGAATGTGACGAATAATAAAAAGAACAAATATTTTAAAGTTTAACAAAGTTTTATTTCTTAGACTGGATATAATTGCCACTATTATTTATCACCGACCAAAATTGTTTACTAAATTCGTCTGGACCCAATTTAATCCGATTCAAGGTGTTTGATTTGAAATCTTTCAATGATAAAAATAAAATTGCCTTATGCAACTCTTCAATGATTGTGTCATAGTCACCCTTATAAAAAAGATTATCGAACAGACTACTATATGCTTTACCTAGTTCAGATTTTGCAATGTATTTTTTGTTTAAATTGTCTAAATTTAAGAATACGCGAAGTTTTTCTCCTTCGTTCCGTTGAAAAAGGATTTTTGTGACCTGGTTGCAGACAATCGTGGGATGACGCTTCAAATATGTATTCCATATCATTTCATTATCTGAAGTATTCTTATTGTTCACGAAATTATATATCCATGCAAGGCAAATTGGTTTCACTACATCCTTATCAGCAAAATTCAACGCAATGTCTTTATCTAAACGAATGGATGTAAAAAATATGAAAAAAAATATATTGATCAAAATATAGACATACAATACATATTATGCATAAAATCAGCCCACTTACATTCTTCATAAATATTCGGATTTGACTCAATCATATCGATGACGCGTTCCGAAATGCTTACGGCCAATTCTTTCGAATCCATGCCACTCTTGGCATTACGAATAATCTTCATATATTCTTCGCTTTTACCAGCCTTGATGTATGCTGCACACTCGTACGTATAAAATTTCAGCTGAATTTTTGTTTGTGAGTCAAATTTCAGTTTTAAATCATCAAAAATTGCAATGGAACCGCTCTCTGCATTTCTCAACAAACAGTATCTCATGATCTAAAGAATGGATGTAAAAAATATAATAAGTAGAATATTGATCATAATAAGCATAAAATAGTTCACTTACATTCCTTTGTATCGGAGTTTCCGAGTTCAGAGAATCATACAAAATTGTATTTGCCTCTTGTATGTTATTTTCGTTAAGAAGGGCTTGCAACTTTACTTCAGTATTGTCTGTATTTGGCTGGATTTGTATCCATGTCTTTGGAATTTCACTGTTTGTTCGTTTCATCAGTTTTCTGATTTTTTGAATGCTTTCATCCGTGGGTATTATCTGTTCTTCGTTCATTGCCGAACATACATTCGCGATGATTTTCCTCGGATTATGTTCATACGCACAAAGTTCTAATAATGCCGAATACATGTTTGCACGACATTCTTTCGACACACAATTCGCGGTTGCAGCTAATAAATTACGCAAATTTTCAACTTGTCGTCGTAGCTTCAGATTGTTAATAAAGTATTCGAATCTGTTGGAATCTTGCGTCTCAAGAGAACAGAAGATCCGCTTCGCTTGATCAATACGACCGCAAATTGTGAATGCAAATGCCATATCATAGAAACCATTGACTTGTCCATGCAATTTCGATATGATTTCCAATAATTTCTCCAATTTCTCAATATCATTAAGTTTAATTAGCTCACACGTTAAGACCAGACTTAATGGCGTCACATGGAATTGTTGAGCTATCCGATCAAATAAATTGAATGTAGCATCCACATCTTTATGTTTCCGCAGGACATTTTTAATGATAATCTCCAAAACTCTTCGATTGACGTGTTTTCGGCTGAATATTAGATTATCCACGAACCATATCATGTCATTTAAATCTGAGTGATCGCTCAACGAGTCGAATATACTACACAATATCATGTGAGTATCTTTATTTGATCGTGATTTCAAGCTATTACTATCAAATTGCGTCACTATCTGTTTTGCTTCATCTATTCGTTTGCATTTTAACAAGCCATTCACCAGGGTTAAAAATACAAAATCATCAAAACCATTTTTCTGATTCCATTCGTTATAAATCTCTATAGCAGCGTTGATTTCGTCTTTCTGGACATTTGATACGACTTTCCTCACGATGTCATTCAATTCCGCAGATTCGGTGCGATATAATTGTTTTATTGAAATAGAACTTTGATTTTTCTCGTTATTCTCTTCATTATTCAATAGTCCAAATGTATGAAATCCACGGGTATTATACCTAGAATTGTGAACAAAAAACAATGAATATATCGAGAAAATAATAAACTAAATTGTGCTCACAAATATTTGTTTGTAGAAAATAACACATTTCTCGTTGAATATGAAGGACCATTATTGAATATCTGTGCAAAAGTTAAACTTTTTCGATAAAAATGAATGTACCGTGCCATCCTTCTGCACTATTTACATAAATTCTATAATAACGAGTAAACCTAACCTCAAACAAATTTGACGGCAATTTGTCCAATGACAGTTGCAATACAACAGAGTAAAAAGAGAATGTTGATTTTGTTTTGGACAACCTTTCCGTCACTTTGAAATAATTTTTAAATTTGTTTTATGGATATCCACATTGATTCTTTTATTTCAAATGCAGTCAATTATAAAATTTCTTTGAAAAACACGAAAAGAACCACAGATTAGATTTCACCAGGTTGAATTGTAGTTCGTAAGAATAAATTTAAAAAGAAAACTATCAATTGAAAATTTACTGAAGTACAATGAATTTATTTGAAGTTTATCCAATTGAGACATGTCGTTAATTTATACTATTGCAAATATTGGGGACAAATTTTCAAAAGGATTATATTTCGATTGGAATGAGCCAATGATCGATGTTTATGCATTGGCGACCGCATATATGCTCTTTTTCGAAAAATTTATTTGCTTGTAATTTTGAATTTGGATTTTTTATACTTTTTTTTTCAACTATAAATTTGGCTCTTATATCTCTAAACTAAAGCAAAAATGAATGATTCGGACTTTCATATGGGGAATTAGTTTAAAGAGAAAGTAATCGGTTGAATATCATGATTATCATATTTGGAATTAAACTTGTTAACTGATTTGTTGATGGCCGCTATGCGTTGTTAAAATAATGAGTTTTGTAAGTTTATCGACTTTTTTGTCGTATGATCAACGATGTCAGCTAAGACACTTCGGCTTTTGCTTTTGGGTTCATCTTTTGATAAGAACTTATTGGGATGGGTTCGATGCAGCGCTGGTATTAAGCGAATGCGACTGGCTTTGCTGCTGCTGTTGCTGTTGCTGTTGTTGTTGTTGTTGTTGTTGTTGTTGTGCCTGATGTGAATTTGGTGGAATCCAGTAATTCTGTAGAAAAAATAAATATGACAGAATTATTCTGTTGATCATAAATAATGACTATAGACTATTTGTTTTCTCTGGCTATTTGAATCAAACGAATTTTCGAGATAATCTGATTCTTTAGCAAAATATCGGTCATTCAGAATGAGACAAAATATACTCACGCCATGGATTTGATGATGGTATGTGGCGGGGATATTCAACACCGGCGCCGAACGGCCAACACTAACAGGTGGTGTCATTCGCGAATACACTGGATAGATGTTAAGCACATTTGTCAAAGATTGTACACAAATATTTTATATTTCATGCTTCAATATGTTGATCAATATCTTACCATTTCCCGGTGGTCCATAGTGTTGGTTCAATTCGTTTGGATCGTTGTGAAATGGGAACGGTGGAACGTTGCAGCCAAAACCGCTGTTGCCGCTGGAGTTGTCGCTATCCGGATTGGATGGTTCTCGTTTGGTTGATAAACCATGGCCTTGTTGATGCGATTTTCCACTTGTATCCTTGACTGGTGTGCCATCGTAGCTGCCACCACTCTGGTTGCTCATGTACTTTTGATTGTTCTTTGGAAATGGTTTTGACGTTGGACCAACGAACGAACCTTGGAAATGCTTTCCACAATTTGTTCGATTGTCATTTCGCTTACTGTATTTCATATTTGAACCACGGCGACCGTATCCATACTCGTTGTAGCCTCTTGGCTGTTCAATCACACAATTTTACATCATTTTATTCCCTTTTTCGACAAGAGAAAAATCATTATTTTGCAATTACCTTCGATGGTGACTGGATTTCGATTTCATTCGATTCGAAGTTCATTTGCTGAAAATCGGCTGCCAGTTGATTTGATTCAATATCGTTGGACTGTTGATCATAGTTATTTCCAGCACATGGTTCACCATCGATCATTGCCATTAATTGACCATGTCCATGAACTTGTTGCAACAACTTGAAGTATTCGACACCCAAATTGTAATAAAATCTCACAGAGACTTTATCATTCACTGAAAAATCGACGTAAAATCGAATCAATCTTGTATGTGACTCAATAAAAATTTAAACTTACACGGCAAATCTTCGCCGGTGGGTGCAGAAGAATAGCTTGGACTGAAATTGATGCGACCGTTCGAACGGAGCAACTCGCGATTGAGGAATGGCAATTGGAATGGAATCGGTGCAGGAAAAGCTGGCATCGCATATTGCGGTGGACCGGGAAAAACATAACCTACAAATTTTTTGCAAATATATTGAAAATTTTGATGAAATTGCCCAATCGATTGGAAATTTTTTTGTATTTACCTTGTGGGTTCACCTGTGGATTGTATCCAGGCCAGCTGCCAACATGGACTGGATAGGGCGATGTTTGATTTCCAGCAACTGGCGCATACATATTTGTTTGCATCGGTGGCACTTGATATGCATGGGCTGGAACTGCGTAAACGCCATTTGGCAAAACCATTTCAGATGAATACACATTCGATTCGTTGTAGTCAGGTGTCGGGCAATAGTAAATGGGTGCCGCGGCGGTTTGATGGTAATAATTTGGCACATGTTGCTGGTTCGCTGGCAAACTGGCATCGTGATCCTGCGATTGATGTTGATAGTACCCACCAGGTTGATGTGTTTGTTGCGAATCTGGTTTCGATTCGTGCGAATTTTTCCCATATATGTTTTCTTCCGAATCGATTTTGACATGTTGGTGCTTGTCACTGGAATCACATTGCGCATTGTTCTGGCTGGATGCATTTTGATTACGATTTTTCTTTGAACCACCCATGTTGGTGTTACCACTCGAATTGTTTGTACTCATATTATTTGTTTGCGAGTAGACCATCGGATAAGCAATTATCTCTTGATTATTGCTCGATGTGAACTTAATATTAGACAAATTTATGTATGACTCAAAGTCAAGCGACTTAGAAATTTCGCAAATGGCGTCGTAGTCAAAAACTAAATCATCAAGCTTCTTTTTATCTTGAGTGTGAGATGTAGCGTCACATGATCCGTATCCGTATTTGCCGATGCTTTCGTTTTTGTGTATTAATTTCGCATACGGATCGCGACGATGCGATTGAACAATATTGCTGCGTTGCGTGCCGCCGCTCAGTGGGTGCGTGTTGCCGTTTGATTCCTTTGCTTCTATGTAACATTTGTTAAGTCCATTGTCCGCTTCGTTCAACTTAACCAAACATTCATCGCCAGCCTATGTGTAAAAAAACGTTGTGTCTTTTTTGCATTTTTTTCCGTTACAAACTATCAGTGGATGTGTAATATTGTTACCTTATAATTCTGTTTGGATTTGGTTGCCTTTCGTGCCTCGTTCCATGAATCGAATTCAACATTTCGATAGATATTCTCATCGAGTGCCTTGGCAACTTTGTAGGGAAACGGTGTAATTCCATCAAACAGTAACTGGCGAACGCACGAACAAAATTTATCCGATAAAATTGACTTTTCGAACCGTTTGGCGTCTTGCTTCAAAAGTTCTTCGAAATTTTTGTTATGAAAATGGCACCGCACTGGATCGTTTAAAATGCAACGCGTGTTTTCTGTAATTAGAAATATTTAATAAAAATGTATCAGGCAATATGGTTGATTGTAAGAAACGCGTAATTCACCTGGTCGATCGAGTTGGAATTTGCGTCCGTCTTGAAAAACAATGTGCGTTGCGTATGCATCACCGTTTTCATATTCGTGTGAGCTTGGCTGTATGATGTCACTATGGAGCATCGTTTCCACCGAATATTCAATATCGGGCAATTTGAATACATTTTTGTAAAGCATTTCGTATACAATCGCTACACAGGAAATAGAAAAGAAAAAAAAACCACAACATCTGTGTCAGTGATTTTTTGAAATCATCTAAACTTCTCTGTTCGAGAATTAACTACTTACATTGACAAAATGCTGCATCGATGATGTATGACTTTTCAAACACTGAATCAAAGTGTGATGCGTGAAACACATACATGGCAGGATCAGCGTAATCTGAATCTTCGACGATCCAAACACCCAATTCAAATGGTCGAAACAATTTAATGTTGCGTTTGAACAAGTAGCCCATTGCACGTAGTTCCATTAAAGTGCCAAAAGTTTCGTTTTTTGCCATTTCACGAACATACTTTTCAAAGTCACCTTGTATCAATGTTTCATATTGGTCACGATGCTTGATCATATAGTTGACGCAATCTTTGCGCACCTGTTTGTGATGATATTGGGTATCATACAATTGCTCGGACACAACGCGAAATAAATTGGTCGAATCACGGGCCGTGTGTTTGCGGTAAAAACCATGTGAATCAAGGAATTTATCGAATGGATCCGGCGTGGGGCGACTTCCCGATGCAAATGTTCGACTAAAACGTGTCGTTGGCATTTTCACGTTTGCAAAGTTCTCAAAAAGTAAAATACACACAAAAATCAATTAGCAAACAATTGATCTTTACTGAAAATTTGCACCGAATTTTTATTTTGCACTAAATTTTTCCCCTTCCAAACTCTATCGTCTGTCCCCGTTAATGATTCGAAACGGAGCACTTGATTTGGAATTTCCTATTGAAAATAGAATGTGTAAAAGAAGGAATGAAATAGAAACTAACCATACTTTATTCATCACATTGACATTACCCTCTAAAATATTGATTCGGCTGTTCTAACAAAACGTGTGCCAATCAAATGAGACGATAAAATTTGGATTTGGACTTTTTGGTAATTAAATGATAGTAAGTATAATACACGAAAACAATTTGAAAATCAACGATTTACTCTCTTTACAGAAATAAATTTGTTAGGAATATTTTTTTTTGTTGGGATTGAAATCCAAGATAAACTAAATAAACTATCTCGAGTGAACGAAAATGTTAGAATGATTCTCTGCGAGATGTGCGACGGTGTTGTACAGTGAAGAAATTGACTAACGGTTTTGTTGTCGTCTTAAATGATTCAACACAAAGTCAACTTGTTCGCTTGCATCACATGAATGCGTCTGACAGTGAGCGAAGAAGAAGGACAAACTGTCACTGTATACTGCGTGCACATTCTTCTCTTTCAAATCGCAAATGTCTCACTTTCGTTTGTATTGGAGGAGAGCAGACTCAATCATCTTAGAATGTTGTATTGCGTCGCAAAGAAAAATCTCAAGTGAGAAAAAAGTTACGATACTTTGTAAATCACGCAACCACATTCAAGTGGGGTTTTGGTGTACGCATGAACGAAACACTTCATTTGCGTTTGCTGTGGAAACGATGCTATTGGCGTCAAATATTTTCATTGTTGTTCTATATGATAAGTTTCAAGTGGATTTTGTCGACGGATTTGACGATTGTCTTCTTCGAACTGCCCCATAAATTTACTTCAGAGAAATACAATGAAATAATATCGGAAATTAATTTTTTTGTTCAGTACTAAATGCACATGAACTAATTGAATAAAATAATAGAATCAATTTCATTCATTTCCGAAAAAGCCGATTTTATTTATATAAAATTATGAAATTCGTATTGTATTAGATTTGGCATTTTTTAAACCATTCCATTTATTCTGAAATATGTTTATTCAATGAACAATGTTCAATATATGTGTGTAAATTATTATTATCGTTACTTTTCGTTCAATGGATATTCTGTTCATTAAATACGTATAAGAAAGAGATGATAACACAAAGAGTAATTATCAATTTATCATTTTTGCCGCTGAAAGTTTGATGGGAAAAACCTTTTCGATAGGAATGTTGGTGTGTTATTTAAATTTTTGATTGTTTAATATAATAACCATGGTCAAGCCTCGTCCAGCATCTCTTTGCTCCTTTGTTTCATCTCGACTTAATGAAAATTCAGCTGATATTCCACAAATTACGTTTTGATGTTACATTTTATTTTATTATGAAATCGATTTTTTTTTGTTATAAGAAATGAAATCTTTTCCTTTGAATAAAAAGAAAGAAGAAATTGCTTGTATGATGATTATTTGCTTGAAGAGACATTTTTTTTTTAAAACAAAACCTATCACATACATTCATATTTTTCACCTGAATTTGATCAATTTTTTCATCACAAAATATTTTAAAAGAATGGAATCTATTTCGCAACCATATGTGTTGTATTTGTTTTATGTCACCGGGCGGAATTTTCGATTAAGAATTAAAAGTATTCCTTATGAAATCATTTTCTTTGCGATAAGTAATGTATATTTATATGAAGAAATGCAACGCAATTCAGAATCTTTTTAAGCAGCATGCTTCTCCTCTTCGATGATCTCTTTGGTTGGCAATGGATTCTTTTCCAAGGTCTCAGTATGCTTGAGTTTCGATGAATCAAAGTTTTCAATGCCATTTATGAAGTTTTGCTGCTCCTTTTCTTGCTCGATGGCTATCAGAAGAAAAAATAAAACAAACAAAAACAAATGCCATGAAGAAACACAATGTGGATCATTGAAATGCGAAGGTGTAAAATAGACAAATACAAACCATCCTTATCGGGCAATGGGTTCTTCTCCTGAGTTTGTGCGTGCTTTAATTTCGTTGCATCGAATCCTTCAATACCGTGAATCAGATTTTGTTGTGACTTTTCGGTGGCCACATCTAAATACAAACCAACACTCGATTAATTATATATATTATTTTCATTTTAACAGATTTCTTTATGCTACCTTCGGCCGTTGGAAGAATTATCTTTTCCTGGGTAACTGTATCCTTGAGCTTATCTGGGGTAAAACCTTCCAATTGGCTCTTAAGATCGACTGCTACTTTTGGCAAATCTTCTAATTTTGGAGACGACATATTTCTGCAAAATTGAAAGGAAAATACTCATTACTTCTCGCATTTTCAAATGTTTATCTTTGACGAATATGAAATACAGCAATTCATGTAGCTACTGAACAAAAATCTCTTCATAGATTGTTCAAAGTGTGTCCCTAAGTTGGTTCGACTAGTCGTTATGAACGTTCATAATAACACTTATAATAATAACAAGAAATTGAAACGTGACTTTCTCAGACGGACGCAACGATAAGCGCATAAAGAAAACTTGAGCAAAGAATTTGTTGACAAAATTGAACGACAGAAATTCCATTTACAAGGCGTAAATAGTGTTTTATTTGTGTTTAGGTTTATGTCTATGTCAATTTTCAAGTGAGGAAAGCGATGCAATTTGTCGTGTTATTGCTAGTGCGCGTCGGAACTGTTTATTTCAGTTTCACTTTTCGATCCGTTGATGATTTTGCTGTTTCAAGAGCATTCATATTTCTAGACGTCGAGTAGGAGATTTACCAATGAAATAACGGCTATTTTCATTGGTTTTTTTGTTATTTTCTTCATCATACTCTCATAGGGATTTCTTTTATTCATACACTCATAGTGATGCTCATTTTACGACCACATCTAATTTTGGAAATTGCTTTTCTGTTTCAATTGATTGAGTTATTCTTTCGATTGCCACGCCCGTTGTAATAGTTTGGACACAAATGATTGTACACATGTTTTCTTTACTCATGGAATTTTTATGACAATTTAATGTCGTTTAAAAAAAACTGCATATTTGCTATGCTTGAGAATGTTAGAATGTTGAATATCGTCCATGAATTAGTAAACTGTTCGTTCAAAAGGACAGGGCAAAACATCGAAATTCTTCATATATTTCACTGTTTTCATAATCAAGACGAAACGTTCCATTTTTTTGCAAATTATTTTGCTGTTTTTGTGATTGGTCAATAATTAATCAGACTCATTTTCCTTACTCTCCATATTATCTACACACAAAATCGGCAAAAAATTTTATGGAATGACTAATTGATGGCAATTTCTATATAATCAAACGAACAAGGGGGATCGAAAATGTGGTATTACATATTCCGAATAGTTAAATGCGTTCGCATAAATTTGAATGTATTTATTTTGATTGGCCAGTGCACGATGAGTCAGTGCCTCGATTGAAATAAGAATGCTATATATGTATGGAATTGGTGATTATGTAGCACATAGTGACTATACGGTCATGCGATATGAGCATATCTTTGGTCTAGAAGATTGCGGAAAGCCAAAACTGAATGAGATTTTAATCATGATGACTCATTTATATTGACGATAGAAATGAAGATATGTTTCGTTTGTGACAAACAGTCTGATGGAAAAAATGCCGCAAACAAGATTATATTGATCTAAAAAAATCGTCTGTTTCCCCCATTCAATTTATGGACGCTAAAAGAGAAAGTAAATGCAATGCTCTCGACTTGGCAGTGAAACGAAACCCACAGACACACACACACACACACAGAGAGAGAGAGAGAGAGAGAGAGAGAGAGAGAGAGCGACAGAGAGAGAGATATCGATTCCATCAGAAGACCCAACATCAAATTTAAACGAACGTTATGTACAACAATGAAGCCAATCATTGTACGCCCCAGCACCCAAACACAGCGCAGACTATCGTATACACAGCTGATTGATGTACATAGTCAAATATTTTCTATGTGTTAGTTCAATTCGGTTGCGACCGACGCAATAAGAGAGACGACGTCAGAAGAAAGGGACAAATGTGGTCTGTATAATGAAAACCGGTAAATCACATAAGCAATGCACTTCAAACAACCGTTGAATTTGGAGATTTAGTTCGTCCGCCAACATCAATATAGTTTTTGTTGTCTAAGCACAATAACATTTTGTTTGAACATCATCGATCAAGTGGTTTTTCAATGCTCCCATATTAATGACTTTTTCCAATCAAATTTAACGAACGACTCTATTACTCTATTTCATTTACCTTTTTACTCTTTTTTTTAAATAATGATGAGCAAAGTGAAGCTCCGGTTCGTTTTCAAAAACAGTACAAATCTACTCCGCGAAGACTCTGTCAATGTCTTTAAAGTTGAAGGTTGTCGATTTTCAGTTGGTTTTCCTTCCACGAAAACAATGTAATCGTTGCCGTGTGTACTGTGTATACCTATTAATTTGAATATGACAAGTGGAAGCATAATTGGATTTTACCGTACCGCATTCACAACAACATACATTGACGAGTAGAAACCTAGGGGCTTCTATGTCGGTTTGGCATTCGAATTTTTATTCACAAATTCGAGCTCAGTGCCATGCATTCGCAACGCTGCCATATGATTTCTATGTAAACATTCGCACTCGCATTCGTGAGAACGTTCGAGAACAGCAAAATACGACTGCTATACGAATGCGAGTGCGAATGTTTACATAGAAATCATATGGCAGCGTTGCGAATGCATGCACAAACACGAATGAACGAATGAATTATGTAGTCACAAGTTCGCTGTCATAGCCGCATTCGTCGCATTCGCAAACGTTCGAATTTTTGTTCTGAAATGCGAATGCATTCGCAGCATTCGCGAGAGATAAATCCCCTTAGGTAGAAACGAAGAAAAGGCAATAAAATCATAGTAACAGAGAGGCAGAGAAAACCGGAGAAAATGTCAGAAAATTGGTTCTCAACAAGTTCGACATTAATTAACACCAGTTTGAGTAGCAATGAATTTATGATAAATATATTTACGTGTTTCTCTTCCGCGCTTAATTACCAAATAACGTCGATCGCTGCGCTCGGCAGATTCAGCTCTTTCGTGTGCTATGTGTGTGTCGAAGAATTTTTTTGCCATTTCCAAATGACTGAAGCACTTTAGACAAATTCAACTCTCTCATTCTCTCTCAATTTAACGAGGTTTGGTTTAGATTTTATTTCATTCTGCGAGTTTCATCCATTTAACCGGTGAATGATATTTAAACTTATTCTTGAGTAATCTAATCTGAGTGTATTTCCCTTCGCTTGTGCATTTTTAGTTCGTGTTGAAAGCATTGAAAGAGAGTTTACTCACTATCTTTTTTTCCGGTTTAATTTCACGCATTACATTCTCTTGGAGAAAAATAACGAGTTTCATAACTATAACTATGATGTTTTTGAATCTTCATTTCTTGATCGAGCTACATTTTTTTACATTTAAGAACAATAGGTCGATGCATGGTTCAGCCGGTAGAAAACAAACATCTGCCAAACACATTTGTCTTTTCTAAACTATTTCTTTTCATTTCAAATTCAAATTGTTACTTTAAAAATCAAACACCAGATAAAATAAATCAAACCGAATTAAATGAGTGGCACTTGAAGCTTCAATGTGTATATATTTTAAACCCATTGAATACACGTTGTTAAACGCTTAAGTAGATCATCAAATGAAATAACAAATCAAATGGAATCTATTTTATTGGTTCGATTATGAGTCATGCGATTAATTTAGGTTGTATTAATCATACCTCGAAACGAATATCAAACATAAAGGGGGAAAAAACCGTACGGTTTGTCGTTCGAATATGGCATGTTGTACAATTTTGACAAATACAATGACTCAAAATGTGCTAAATATTTGAAATCCGTTATGGTTTCGGATTTAAAAACATCGAAATTACGGTGGCTAATCACATTTAGTGTGTTCGAAAATCGAATACGTTCTCCAGCGTCAACAATAAATTCATTACAAACACACCAACATTCGAACAAGAGACAATGCTGTCAATTCTCAAAGTAAAATCGAATTAAGCATTTCATTTACAAAACAGAAGAAAAAAACTAACGCACGAGCCTATTTCTTCCCTTAAATAAAATGTGATCGTGGCAAGACGCTTTAAAACCACATTACAGTAAGTGCATACCATACATGGTAATAATTTTTATATGTTCGTGGCGCTTGCAAACGCGATACATTCGTTTCACACTCTATTATATACAGTATGCACAATGCACATATGTTGATGACAATGGAATGATGGAGACGATCAACTGAAATATGCTTATTTGTGTCAGTCATTTATTTCTTTGTATTTGTTTTAATTCAAATATAAAACGTGGAGTTTTTCTTCATGTGATATTTTTCATTTCTCAGAATGTGGTTGAAAAAATTCGTGATTTACATCCAAGTGTCTTGATCATATTAGATATACAGAGTTCATATGTTCAAGAGACTCTTGCTTACGTGTATGCTCCGAATGATTTATTTGCCTAGTTTTTCACAGTAAATCGTGTTGGATTCGATGAAAAGAAACGTGGCCGTATAAAGGACATATCATCATTGAAAATGACATTCGGCAATAAATAAAAATGCGTTAAATTGTCTCAAGATGGAAATGTGCACGAAGAAGAATGAGGAGACGCGGTCGTAAAAGACGAGATCGCTATATTTAAAATTTAAATTTATGCGTATTTTTAATTGTAAATTGAAAGAAATTCTTTTAAGATTATATTGGCATACGATGTTGGCGTGGGTTTTGGCTTTTACCCTACGGTTCATACAATAAAAACTGAATCGTTTTCGCTTTCATCGCAACAAATTGGCAAATAGAATGAAACCACAGCGAATATTTTGTAAGGAAAAAATATGACCCGAAATGAACGAAAATTTCAAACATGAAACGGAATAAAAATAAAAGTAAAATAAAAAGCAAATAAGGAAAAAGCGTAGCAAAGTTACTAAGTGAGGAAAAAATAAATACGAAACAGTGACGATAAAAAAAACAACTGTACATGATTCATATGTATATGATAAAAAAAGAAATAGAAGCGGACGGTTTATACTACTTGAAACACAGCTGAACGTTCTCCATTAATGCTTACAGCATATAAAAAGAATTTATCGCACTTTATAACGAAAAAAATTTCAAAGTACAAAGAAGAAACACGAAAACAAAGACCGAACAAATATTGTTGACAGAGAACCGAGCAGAAATTGAGAACGGTCAACAATGAAATTTGAGACAGTTGTTGCCCGATTAACAAAAAAAAAACGATGTGGATAGATTATGTTTTTTTCTAAAAGGTGAGTCACATTAAATGGATGAGTAATAATAGTACTCTCATCTATTTTTTTCTCTATTAAATTTGGTTTTTTTACATTGAAGATCGTAAACCGCTCGATCGAAAAGTGACGGCAACTTTTTGTTATATATTCAATTAAATTTACTTCCACATCACAGATGTTACAATAATTCAATATCATATGTCGCTCAATGTGATGGCTGTCCGTCCGTCTGTCTATCTTCTGCGTAATGCGTTTCGAATAAGGAAAGTTGTTGCGTTTTTAAGTATCAGCGGACAACAACAACGCAATGTGAAAGTGAGCAGTAATATTTGCATGCAATCAATTAGTTCCATGTTGTGCTGTTGATGAATTGCTTCAATTCTTACGATTGAAAATGCAACAGTAAAAATTGCCACGATGCCAAATAAAGAAGGTTATTTCTATTTTGCCGGTTGACCATGTATGCAATACAATCTTGTTATATACGAATTTGTTATATACAATTGGCATGCGATGTGAATAGGTGGTATTTGGAATATCTGCCATATTGAACGAGACAAAGGGGTTATTATACGTTGATTTTGTTCCGAAAAATACATAAAATGGACGTGATGAATACAAACAAATGCGTTCGCATTGAACACAAATTGATGGCTACGAAACAGCGTCCCGTTTCTAAAAATTTCCAACCATACTCATGCGAGAGAGCGATATTTTTTTTAAATTGAATTGTTGTTGTCGTTTTCACTTTGGCAGCACAGAAACCGTGCACCAACAGAATAACCGAGACGAAAGAAGACTGAGAGACGAATTTATACAAGAATAATACATAAACGAATTATAACGATCAGCGTCACCGCCCATACACAAAAAACCGGATTTCATTACACGAAAATATATACACAAGCCATTGCCACGAATGTGTAGTTTGCCATTTTTGCGCATTGCATTTTGAAATGTGCAAGTTTTTTTTTTCGTTCTTTCCTGCCGAATTTTATGTTTATTGCGACGTTATCGGAGTTGATGAAGCCGCTTGAATGGAATAAATGAAAAAAAATGATGTTCATCGCCCCCGAACAATGTTTTATTCGAAAGAATGCCGATTTTTTTGTTGTTAATGTAGCAATATCAATCTTTTTTCGATTGTCTCGTTGGAATTTAATCGCCAGTATCCGCAAGCGTCGCTTCGTAGATAGTGTATCAATTTGAAATTTAATATGCATAAATCAAACTTCCAAATTGGTCAGACTAATGACAAAGTATTTGCAAATGCTGCAAAAAGTCCGCCTTCGTTGCTTTGATTTTTATCTATGTTTTTTACTCACCTCTTTCTAAATGTTCCAAAGAAATTCCTCTTTCAAAACTAGCTAATTAAATTGATAGCTCGGCTCCACTTGGCTAATTCACTTGCAGACAAAAAAAAATGAATAATTTCAAAAAATGTTTACGGCGAATGGGTGAATGCGTCTCTACAGTTCAGCGAATCGAATTCAACTGTGAACTGAAACAAAGGCTCAGAAATTGTTCGTCTGCTCAACGTATTCCAACCAACAATATGACGAACGCACGATGTGTTGTGAAGCCGATTCAAACAGATTCAATATTTATTGTCGCTGACATTCGTCGTTGTGAATACATGTAAATGTTTGTGTGTGTGTGTTTATATTGGATGAAACAGTAGCCGCATACGCGAATATGCATGAGCGCATCCCATACAAGCGACATGAGTCACGGATGGAATTTTTCCTCTCTCTCTCTCTATCCCCGTTCTTTCTTTAGTATGTACAAATTTGGATGTAAAATCAACAAGCGAAAATAATACAACACAATAACACAATACACAACGAATGAGGCTCAAAGTAGTGCTCGAAATGAAAGCCGAAAAGAAGATAGAAGAAAAGACTTGTTTGATTGTATAAAAACGATGAGGTAGGTTTTAGATTGGTTGAAGTATATGCTATCACGAATGAACGTTAAATTCTATACTTATACTACTTAAAATTGCTTATACGTAGTTGCTTTGGTTTGTATCACAGATAAGACCGCCGACGTTGAAGTAATAGATTTGTTTATTCGCTGAACGCGCGATATTTGACTAGCATGTATATTTTATTTTCCCGACGATTCTTTGATTCATACGTTTTTGTTGGATTTTGCCGAGTTTTCACTGAACTTTTTTTCTTTACATCGTACACAATTCAAATGTCAATATCATGTCAAATAATAATACGTATGAATCCACGCGAGAACCAGATTTTAAAAAAAAAGTCGACACAATTTTATTGTGAGGAATTATATACGATGAATGCAATCGAAAATAGAAAATCGTGTCCATCAAAAACGAATTACGAAGTTTGGGCATGGAATACAAATGGTGACAATGGTTAAATAAGACGAATCGACGATTTGGTTAGACACACTTCCATGCAAAATAAAACACATGTTTTTAATGCTGAAAAGAAAAGAAATTAGTTAAATTTTTATTGATTGATGAAAATATGGATAATATTTTTTTTTCCAATTTCATTCTTTTTTCTTTTGTGGCTTCCATTTTTTTGGGTTGATCTTCTTTTTTTTAGGGTAGATGTTTTTGTTTTTGTTGGCCATCTTTTATGTGGATATTTTTTTGGGGTGTTGACATCTTTTTTCCAGGCTCATGTGTGTATTTTTATATGGCTCTTTTGGACATCCATCTCAAATATTTTCTCTCTTTTTTTCGTTCATCATCTTTTCGAAAAAGACGTTATAATGCTTCATAATCAATTGAATATAAAAATTAAATCTATGTTTGAACAATAATCCGGTTTAAGTTTAAATTATAAATTAATAAACGAGTATGAAAAACATGATTTTCTGTTATCATTGAAACGGATAAATTTCACAGACTTTTTATATATATTGAGTTAAATGGTTGGTTTGATTTTTTTTAATAATTGGAAAATTGACTTGATTTTTTCTTGTAAATGTTTCGGATATCAAACTTTTGTAGTGCGTACAAGAAAAAAATGAAATAAAATGAATATTCAAAATTTCACCTCAGTAGATAGATGTTTTTCGCCCAAGGTCGATGATGATTTTATAATCCCTCCCCCAAATAAAGTCGATCATATGTAGATGTTCATTTAAATTGAACCATTTCACATTGAATCGCCACCAATCAGGAATGTTTTTGATCTTTTGCCTGATGGTGCAGGTCGGCAATGGAATTACATATTTCACATGTTTGTTCGTTTTTTTTTGTTTTAACACAAAATTTCACAAATGTTTTTCTACCTTAACTTAGGTTTCATTCAGGCATTAAACTTCTTTTTGTCATTTTTACGTTGTCTCCTTCTCTGTTTTTAAACCTTTTAATATACAATTTTAAACAATTGGTTAACTTTGTGTCAATTTTACAAAAATTAAACGATATCCGACACATTTCTATCAGAAAAATACTTCGCTTGATGAATTATAAAGGGAAAAAATTCGGTAAATAGCATATATGAAATAGGGAGAAATACATAGGGTTCAAGGTTTTACATTTGGGATATTGGATTGTTTTTTTAAATAAGCATGGAATAAATGTGAATTATTTTGCCATATAATAAATGTTATTTTTCACGGTTAATTTAGCAGAAAAATATTACTGTTTTTTTTTAAATATCAACATTTGGGCATTTGATAATTGTTTTTTGTTAGTTGTTAATTTTGTTTAGCGCTGTTTAAGATTTTTTATTTTTATTAGCAATCACCGCATCACACCATATGCATACAAACAAAGCATCTACTTACACAGTACCACGCATGAACATTTGTCTCATCTCCATTTTGGAAAATCTGACAAATTTACGTTGTATTGCGTCGAATAGTTCGTATGTTTTGTTTGTATGCAATGTATGCTCGAAACCTGCGTTAGTAAAATCAACATTTAATCGTCACATTTTATGAAATCATAAAGATGGATACTTGTTATCTAATTCATTCTTGATGAACGTATTGCAAATAAATTTAAAAAAAAAAGAAATTTCTTTCGCATTGAATTTCTATTCTCCGCTCCGTTCGAAAAATGAACGCTCTACCCTTTCAATAGACAAAATTTGATCATTTTCAAATTATTATCGTGAGTTTGTAGTGCAAATAGTTCACTACAAACATTTACAGATTCGAGTTTTTCTTTTGCCTAACGTTAAATTTTACTTGCTAGTTGACTTTTGATTTGTACATTTTTTAGAATTCTAATAATGAATTTTAATTTGAATAGACCTAATTAGCTCCACGAAATGGTATAGATTTTTTTTGTTATCGATGGAAGCGAGTTTGATTGTAAAATTGAAAATTCCTACTTAAAATCGTAATCAATCCAATTGTGTGTTTCTTTCTTGTTACGTACATATTTAGCATTTGATGCTTTTGATGAAAACGAGAAATTTAGACTTATTTGAATGCCGATAAGTTTGCAAGAGAAAAAACATATTTGATATGGCTTTATGTGCAAATAAAATTGAAAAAACAAAACTGACAGTTTGTATACAAATCAATGAACAAACATTTTCAGAACAGTTTTCACCTGTGAATTACAGATAGGGCATCGTTTTCTTTTGTTCCACACCTTAACTGTACACCGGTAGCAACAGCATACGTGTAAAAATCGGTTGTGAACAAAAGCACCATTTTTTGGTTCCGATAAACAAATCATGCACATACCATTCGTTGGGTCGGTTTCTTCCATAGCACGGAATTTTTTCGCCATCAGTTCCTCATCATCGATGTCACTATCGCTGATCTCATCGGCAAAATCGATTTTCCGCTTCTTGGCTCTTCTCTTGTTGGCTGCAACAGCAGCAGCATCGACATCAGCATCCTGTTTCTTTGTTTTGGCCATGTGTTCTTTGCTTGTGGATCCATCAAAACTGTTTGTTGTCTTCAGTTCCGGCACAACAGCATGTTGAGTTCCGTTGGCATCACAATCTGTGGAGGATTGCGATGATCCGACTGAGTAGCCCGATATCGTTGATGCCAAACTATCTAGTTTGCTCAGCGAACGAACACTTTCATAAACATTATCGAATGAAATCGTTTGTGAAACTGGCTCAGAATTGGGGTAAACGCTTTCCTGGCTGTTAGGATAATTATGTTCGAATAAATTTGAATTAGATTGTTTATTAACATTAACTATATGTTCGAGATCCGAACAATACGTTTCTTGACTGCTCGCAGATGCAGTCACTAAGTAATTTGATGGTAACGTTGATTGTTGTTCATCAGGCGATAGCTCTTGACTTGAACAGCAACTACTTTCACCGGCACTATGCTTCTGTGGATGCGACGTCGTTCGTTGTCGTTGTTTACGCATTTGCTTAGGTTTTTGGATGAATTCATTACCAATACCATCACTGCCATCGCTACTATTACGGCTGATACGACCATCTTCATCATGTTTCTCGTCGTGTATCGATATTGACGATGAAGTCGATGGTGAGCTCAATCCAAGTAGGTTGTTACGATGATGCCGTCCAAGGCTAGCACGCTTTCGTCGGTGTTTCGGTCGTGGTGGAAAATGATTCTTTCGTATCTGGTAGTAATGGAAAAAATTTGAAAATTAGTTACGCTGATTAAGTTAAACAGGATAGTATTAAAGCAAGATTGATTTCATGTAGGAAAAATTCATGAAACATTACCCATTACGTCATATGCAAAAAAAAGAGGGAAAGAATTACGCTCAAATTTGTTAATTGTATAAACTGACATGTATTATCACAAGTTATGTGGGATTGAATCATCAAGAGCATGAAGTTACTTCGAGTATGTTTAAGCGCTTTACACAAAGGATATTGATCTTAGAAGATGCTTTTTGAAAATTTGTTAGTCAACCGAATGAAACTTTCTTTAGCTTTTCAAAAAATTCCCTATTCCGGTAGAAAGTTTGAAATCATCGGGTAGAAATCATCGGGTTTTTTTTCGGTTCGATTTTTTGCCCGCTTAAAATAAGCGTTGGTGCTTTTCGGTTCAATTTGATAACAAGAAGAAGAAGGCGAGAAGAAAGGAATGATGAAGGAATTGAATGTGAAGAGAAACTACATCAACAAGCCGTTTGAGCAAAGCAGGCAGGCAGGCAACGTATGACGGTCACTCAATGGAACTGTAAACACAGGCGAAGTGGAATGTGAAAGAGAACAGCACAATGCCGACATACTGTTGATGACGTCACACTCATGCACACTCTCAAAGCGATGAGTAAACACATACGCTTGCTTGGATGTATGCTCGCGTCGACACATTTCGTGTTTGTGTACATTTTGTTGTTGTAATTGCTAGAAGAGGCATTGTCTATTTACAGAAACATGTACGTGCATGTTTGCTTGTAAACAGATTTCCTGTATTTTCTTTTTGCAGCAGGTCAAATGGGGAGTGGAATTTTTGATGCATTTTGGAATTTTGAACTTTTTTTTCCACAGAACTCAATCATGTTTCTATTTGAAAGAAGAAATGTACGTTGTACGCGCAATGATGCGGCTTGGTCACGTGTATACAAATATTATGTGAATGACGAATAAAGCACTCAAGTCACTTGGATCAGTTCAAAGCGCGAATGAAAGTCTTGCATGTACGATCGTGTTTTTGGCACAAAAATATACCAATCAATGACACATTGCGCTACAAAGTCTCGACTTGAATTTATATCTTTTTTTTTTTTGTAAATAAATCAGAAATAATGCGATTAAAAGGAGGCACATTAATGAGATGTGACAGATTATTTGTTGAATATAGTTTAGAGAGTCAAACTTGCTACGATAAAAATGAAAACGTATCGGAACAATTTGTTCCAACATGCACAAAAAGTAGTTTTATTGATTTTTTTAATCTTCGAGATCCAGTTAAATTTGTCAAGAAAAATTGAACTGCTTTTGAAATTTATGAATGTGAAAAATGATTCGGTTGAGATGTGGTTGTTGTTTACCTGATAGCATTTCTCACAGTATCGATACATCGGATTATTTTTCCGATTTTTGCACTTGATGCATGTCCAATAGTCAGCTCTTCCGAGTTCGGGATCAGTGGGTGCATCTGATTCCTCAGTATCCGCATCTTGAGCAAAAATTTCAATGTCATCTGAATCGCTGCTTGAAGCGAACAATGCCTTAGCCACCACTTCGACCATGTCCTATAATTTCGATTTTTTACAATGTTTAAAAAAACTGATCATACGGTCAACAATGTCATGCTTCATACATCCGTTCCGCTTGATGAACCGTGTGAGTAGATATCCTCGCTATCGGAGCTGTCATCGACCTCATACTCGAAAACGTCCATCGTTGCGAATCCATCGGTTACATAACCATCGCTGCAGTCGCTTTCATCTCGGCAAAAATCTTTTTTTTTTGAGTGTGGAATAGAAGAGAAGCGAAAAGCAATGATTAGCAAATAAATTCATCTTATACTCTGCATACGTTTATCGTTTATTTATTCAGTGTGCGTGCACACCTATTAATAGTAGGATGAAAAATGCCATCAACATGTTGCACGTTCAAACATGTTTCGATATTTTTGGTTGAATATCCATGAATAACGAATCGTCGTTGGCTGATAGAGTGAATTATTCATCATTGAATTGTTCGAAGCCAATGTGCAGAATTGCAAATAAACAAAACACGATGCAATAATTGAGGCTGTGAGAATGAAAATGGCAATACAGGAATAAACATTCTGAAGCGCATCAAGAAAAAAAATTCGCAAAAGTGAATTATGAGTTCTGAATACGCAAAAGTGAACCATGAACCTCCTATGCTGCCCATGTAAATTCATGTTTCACTTTTGCATATTCAGAACTCATGATTCATTTTTGCGAATTTTTTTTCTTGATGCGTTTCAGAATGTTTATTCCTGTATTGCCATTTTCATTCTCATTAGCATAAGTGAATAGTAGCATACGATTGCAGTAGCCTCTTAAAATGAATATCGGTTTTTTTGTTTTGAACTGAACTGATAAACAATGGCATATTGATAACTAAATTTCTATGAAAATGAGCGTGTACAAACCTGTTTCCATCTCATTGAGACTATCGTAACATGAGCTCTCTGATTCGCTGTGTTCAGTTAGAACAATTTCTTCAGCTAATGTCACATGGACCTGTGGTAATCGCCGCTGCTTTGTACCTGGCCGTTGTTTCAATTTCACTGCTGATGAACCACTCACTGTTCGCGTAACGGTCACCATTGAAGATGATGACGCGATTGACCTCCACGATTCCACCGTTTGGTCTGAATTTTGACGGGCAGGTGTTGTTGCGATGGATTTTTGTGTATCTTGTGCATAACTTTTTCTTCTTTCCGGCCATGGTTGTGAAAAATCTATGTTCAGTTCAATAATTTTCAGTTATACGTCGTTGGTTTATTTTATAAACACCACAAATGGTAAGAACACACACACACAACACAAAATATAAGAACAAAAAGGAAAACCAGACCAGAAAAAAAGAAACTAAATCAAAAATGTTCTCTATGCTATACTATTGATCTATATTTTTTTTTTTAAACTACAACATATATAACAAACAGCAACCATTTTGTATCCCTTCCCCAAAAAAATAAGACGCATAAAATTTCGTGAATGTTCATAAAAGTCATGATTTGTTTTGATTTTCATTTGCTCAATTAGCATGTCAAACATTTATGCCGAGATAATTCAGACGTGAGAGATTTAAAACAGAGCAAAATGAGTAGAAAATATGTGGGGTTTAATCGTTTCCAGTAAAAATGTTCGTTAATGCCGACACCAATAAATAAGGAGTTTTAGACAATTTTTCGTTGTTTGTTCACAATGCTCTTCATCGATGCGCTCCGTATGTATAAATCTCTTCCATCTGTGGATATACATATTATGAACCGTGCTCGTAGTTTCGAATGGCGGGGAACAACGCACACCATTTTAGAACATGGCACTCACCACAATACTTGACTTGCTATGTGTGCTTTTTTCACTTCAATATTTATTCAATTCACCCAAAATTAAATTTAAAAAAAAATATATTTCTTATTTTTTCCAAACCCATACCTCTAAATTGAGCTGATTTATGCATTTACAAAAATAAATAAAATAAATTTGTGGCAATTTTTCGTTGAAAAAAAAATGCAACTTTTTTCTTGTTTCAGCCAAAGTCGTTTGGATATTTCAAATGCACACTTTGAACGCGTTATGAAAACAGAGTACAACTAAAGAGAGAACCATGGAAATTTTCAAGACGTGTATAATTGCAAATATGGCCGACCAAATATGTACCACAGTATTGTGACTGTGAATGGATTGTGTGAAGTCAGCACGAAGGAGACAGTACGTCAGCGCTTTGTTTTGCGTTTCTTTGTGTGATTATAGCACACAGTTTCGACACTCCAGTTGAACAGCGCCCTCAAGTTGTCAATTATCGGACTTTCACATGTAAACGTTCATTCTATTCAAATGGATTCGATATTGGAATGTTCGTTGAATAAATTTATTTCAAATATTTCTATTATTGAAAATTTAGTGAAAATTTGTCGTGTATTTTCAAATAAAGAAAAACACTCATAATATTTCCAAAGGTATAGTTAATACGAATGTGAAAAATAGTCACGCACATTGGATGAACTGACAGCTTGCCATAAAATGCTGCACATAACACCAGCCAACCGAACACGATCGTGAGTTGATCACGTGAGACGCCCATCTGAGTTTATATGGAACTCAAGTTGAGTCGAGTCGAGTTGAGTTATTTTTGAGCGCAGGAATATTCCACTAAAAATAACAAAGACAACAACCGCCTCACCAAACGTTTTTTTCCATATATTTGTATATTTGCTTTGATTTTTGCTCACACACATTAATCTTCTTTGCATTGCTGAAAAACAAACGAAGTATATGAAGTGTATACTTTAATTTGAAAGAAAAATAATATTTAATACTGGAATTATTGGCGAGAAAAATGTTTGAGTCATGTTCATCATATTGGTTTTTAGTCAATACCATTATAGGGTAAATAAATTTGTCACGAAAATAAAATTCGGTTTTATACATTATGACATAATATGGTTGCTTAACTGTTGATATGGAGCTATCCATACAGATTTATCAAAATTTGCTTGGCATATTCCGGAATAAGTGTCTACTGTTTATCAATATAAAAGTTGAGTATTAAAAATGGATTAATGTAGAAAAAATGTTCATTGGCGAATTTTCCAATTCAACACTTATTTGCATATATGTATTATGCATTTTCTTTACATTTTATTTTATGAAATTTCGAATACTTAAAAATTGAAAAGAAAACAACATCTATGGTCAATTGGACCTCAATCTTATAGTTTGACCTTAACTCCAGACGTGCCTCTTGTTCCTAAGCCGCTGATTTTAAACAAATGTCTGGCTTCTTGGGGTAAATCACCACGTAAACGCGACCATGTGTATTGCCCAAGTTGTCTCGTGAAATGTTCTTTTTCTGCACCGTCTTCAATTGTTTCGGTTGTTTGCGTGCTAATTTGTAGAGATCTTCGGAAGCAATTTTCGTACGCTGATTTTTATTTACACATGTACCTCGCGGATTAATAAATTTAATTTCATTATGTGTTTTATAAACAATTTTCTTCCTCGAAAAAGTGAAGTAAAAAATCGTTCAAAATCAATGTCGGAGAATGAAAAAATAAAATATATTTTGCCATTTGAATCTGTTGCTTGGTTTTTTGTTTTTGAATGAGCGTAGAGCGGGTTTTCGAAAATCATAGCATCGCGTTGTGACAGTTCGAAATTCGAATTAGATTTGATGTATCAGCAACAGTCGAACACAGCGATACAGTAGGACTGCGTCTTTTTGGTTCCCATCTGCCACTTAAATTTCTATACATTTCCACAAGGAATAACTTAATCAATTCCACCAAATTCGTTAATATTTTCTATTATTTGCGAGCTAATTTAGTCATAATTCCGTTGTGAATTCCGTTACCAACATGTCTGCAACAGTGAAAAAGGTGAGAATTCGTACATTCAATAGACATTTATTAGAACTGTTTTGCGAGAAAATATGAGCATAAGTTTAGTTTTGAACATTTCTAAAAGTGTATTTCATAAAGTTGTATCAATTGAAATTGTATTCCAATAACGAGATTAATGTTTTAAGTCAACATGATTGGGTTCTAGATTTTTCGTACGAGAGCATCATTCTGTATGCACTCATGTGGGTATTATGTTAGTTGTTGTTGGCATATACTTTTAAGGTTGTGAAATGAATTGTGATCAACATTGAGGTTATGTACGCAGTTACTCTATAAATAATTAACAAATATTATGGTTTTGTTCATTAGGTACAAGAGTACAAAGATGGTTTGATCAAGAAAGCAGAAAATCTAATAACCATCGGCTTCCCCGAGAAAATTGTCCGACTCAACGAATTATTGGAAACACAAATGTTCGCCAATCGTAATTTACACGATGTTCATCAGGTAAATGCATATGTTTGCCATCGGCTAATGCACGAAACATTATACATTGGTTTCTGTGATTGTTTCTCTTTCAGGATCTAAACATTCCCGTACCAGATGCAATTACACAAAATCATGTAAACGACTTTGAGGCCATACCATCGAAGCGAGCACGAATTGATGACAATTCAAAGACAACCACAGAATCATTGACGGGTCCTTCTGGTACAAAAGTATTGGCTTTGCCGACCGGCAGTGTTGCATGTAATACACCAATTTGTGATTTGATCACCGTCGTCAAGCCCTTCATCCGCGAATTGGTTGAAGATTCAAACTTGTTGAAAATGTGGATTTCATTCATGAGTAAGTTCTGTATTCAGGATTACAGGCATTTTTGCTCCACAAATTTGGTTCATTGAATAAACCAAAATTCAAATTCCCATTTGTAGTTCCAAAGATCGAAGATGGTAACAATTTCGGTGTAGCTGTGCAAGAGGAAACCTTAGGCGAAATTCAAAGCGTTGAAAGTGAAGCAGCCGCATTCTTCGATCAAATATCACGGTACTTCATATCACGGGCGAAAATTGTTTCTAAAGTCGCGAAATATCCACACATTGACGACTATCGTCGTGCTGTACAGGTAATTCAATGGCAACTTTACCGCTAATTTAACCTAATCTCGGCATTATTTTAATTTTTTTTTCTCTAAAATAGGAATTAGACGAAAAGCAGTTCCTCAGTCTTTGGCTGGTTATGTGTGAAGTGCGCAATCGATACTCTTCACTGCATGATATTGTCATCAAAAACTTGGAAAAATTGAAAAAACCGCGATCATCCAATGCCGAAGGACTGTACTAATTGCTTTAAGTGTTTATTTTTCTAATGTTCACATGCAACTGATTGGAGGACGCTAAATAATTACAGCAAATTGAATTCAAACCTCAACACATGCTTTTTTTGTAAACAAATCACTCAATTAAAAATCAGTCTCGAAAATGAAATAAAACTGTAATTAAAAAGCAATTGTTTTCAAAGAATCAATATTGAAAGAAAAACTAAAAAAAAATTGGAATAAAAATTACATTGCTCGTAATTTTCGAAATGTTTGACACAAAAAGAATTGTTAAATTTAAACACACGTTTAGATCGTCTCTAAATCATGAAATAAAAATTCAAAATTTCCATATGAAAATGTATGTTTGTTTATTGAAACCAATAAAATGTGAGTAAAGGTATAATTTATTCAGCTTGTTGTTTGGCCTGTTTTTCTGCCGCCCGTTTCTCTTGACGCTTCAATTTCTTTTCTTCTGGGCTCTTTCGCAATGCTCGTACTTTTCTCGTTTGGACTTTACCAATTTGCTGTTTGCCCACGTGAACGCGACCATGTGTATTGCCCAAGTTGTCTCGTGAAATGTTCTTTTTCTGCACCGTCTTCAATTGTTTCGGTTGTTTGCGTGCCAATTTGTAGAGATCTTCGGAAGCAATTTTCGTACGCCGTACAGAAAAATCAATTGATGGACCAATTTCATTGACTTCAATTCTTGGTGTTTTCAATCCGGATTTCTTCAGAGCAATTTTGTATGAACGCACCAAAATCTGGTTGTCTTCAGTCAGTGTGAAGCTTAAAACATGTTCAATGCCTTGCAATCGAATGGCGTTCACAGTTTCACGATGAAATGCATCAATAAACAATGATTTCAACCGGCGCATATCCTCCGTTTGTGTCCACTTTGGACCGTTAAATACCAAACAGGGTTTTACACAAGTACCGATTTTTTCATTTTGAAATTCCCTCATCGATTTAAACTGTTTGATGCCCAATTCAACCATATCTAGGAGTTCTTGTTCGAATAACCGTCCCAATACCAAGTTGTCGGGACGCTTTTTCGATGATGAACCAAACATAAATAAAGTGCAATCATTTTTGTCAACCAAGAATTGCAACGAGCTGGTGTCTTCAAATGGAGTGATGTCATTACTGCGAGACAACTTTTTGCACAGCGGTTTTTTTAGTTGATAAATATCCTTAAGAACTTGTTTTATGTGACCGGAACATTTTCGTCCTTCAAGAAGCAATGTGTTTTTTGCATCTTCTTTGATTTGTGGCTCACGCTTCAACAGAATCTTCTTTCCCTTGTGTGTGGTTGGCTTTCTGTTCAACCGGATGAAAAATAATTGGTTATTTGAAAAGAAAAAAACCATATTTATTGAAGATTTTATTTACCTTATACGAAGAAGTGACATTTTGATCTTTTAAATAAACAAAAACCAAGGAAAAATATTAAATATTTCTTTCAAAGTCGTTTTCGAACACTATTCTAACCAAAACGTTGTTTATACGAACGATAAACGTGTGTTTTAGATCGCCAAGCACGTTTTGTCAGACGTTTAGAGCCGCCGTCAAATTTTAAAACCATATCTGTCAAGCTGACAATTCACTCAGAACAGGTTTTGTTACTCATAGCAAAAAAGGTTTTCGAGAAATATTTAGAAATTAAACTTGCAAGAATGGCGTACTCCTTTATATCGATCCATTGAAAAGAAAAAAAACATGATTATTTATGGTCAGACGTGCAAAAAATCTATTTTTTATTTTGAGCCGATTCCGCTGTGTTTACGGCGGTGATGGCTCTCATCGAATCCACTGTTCTCAATTTATAAGCATGGATCGAGTGTATGTGTAAGTTGCGGTATGTGTCTAAGTGTCTGTCTCTGTTCAACGTGTAAGTATTTTTTTCATAGTGTGTGGTACATTTGTTTACGACCGGACTAGCTTTGAGTCGATGTGTTGTTGTTATTCGCTTTAGGCGCATTTACGTTGTGTACCATGTGTGACTGTTCAAAGGAATGATGATGTTTCTGATGATGAATAAAGTCGTACACGAACAGACCGAGTCTTGCAACCGTTCGGTGCGGTGGTGTATTTTGTGTTGTCTTCGTGTGCTCAATCTTTGTTCTGAGTTTACGTTCCCTTCGATCAAATTCATACTTACTTAACTTTATATGTGTTTGATTCATCGTGCCGTAAATTTATCGATGAATAAATTGCAAATCGTAATCATTGTAGTAAACATTTAATTATTTTTTTGCAATTCTACTTTGTCACTGTGCAATACAGGAACAACAACAAAAAATATGTACGTAAACATTGATTGTGAAGTTCGATCAACTGTTTCAAGTTTTTTTTTTCGAATAAGACAAAAAAGTGTTACTTCTATATTCTCAACAGATAACAATGTGTTGTGCAAACGATCGTTCATTTTTCTATTTATTCACATAATGTTTGCATAAGTTTTTTTTTATTTATAAATACGTGTTGAATCGGTTGTACTATGTCGCTTGAAAGAGATTTACTTTTTCGCTTGAAACTCAACTTGTTGGAAAAAAAATTTACATATTCAACGAAAAAACAAATCTTGTAATTTGAATATTTAAAAGTTTGTTCGATTGGTTTATCGTTACCTCTCCTACTCTTCCTCCGGATTAGGTTCAAGTTCGATTGCGATGATTTAAACAAACGGTGCAAATAAAATAATATCGGCTTTCGATGATTTTCTTGCAATTCTCATTCTTATTCCAGTTTGAGAGAAAAACAAACATTCACGTTCAGTGAAGCAAAAAGAGTACCATACATTCGACCACCAAGAAACTTGATTCGCACATACTTACGTAAGCATTGTGGCCCAATGGCCAAAGAGTCTTCTCCATTGTTACGGAGAAGCAACCGAAAAATAACAAATTCTTCAGAAAAAGCGTATCATCTCTCAGCATGCTTCAGCCATATACATATATGTGGATATATATTTGCCAAAAGGGCGTCACGAGCCAAAGCTGAAATATGGATAAAATAAATATACACTATCGACTCTCATTTGTCTGCGTAGTGTGTATAGTAATCAAACGAAGAATTACATTTATTTGAAATGAGATAATACGAAATTGGCTGAAGCTCGACTGTGTATTACATAAAAAAAGTTGATTCAACCGCTCATGCAGCATCGATTGGTGTTCGAAGAAACGCAGCTAAAGTGGAAATGGGTGCGAAATAAATTTGCATAATTCGAAGTGTACTATTCGTTTTTTGGTGTTATTTTCTACTTGTTCCTATTTCCAATTGAACGCCGCACTATTTTTATAACATTATCGCTGTGTACATGGAATGAATTAATTGGTTTTTTGCCTTCAAACAAAGCTCTGTATAGTATGAAATCGAGGCAGTTTTCTATGTATTTCTCTCGATAAATAATTTGCGTTTATAATTGTTACGCTTCAGAGTAAAAACAACTGGAACTCGCAGAAATGATATTTCCAAAGTACACAATGGAACAGCGATAACCATTTGATGACTTCAGCGATTTTTTTTAAATTCTCGACGCCACATACCAAAAACGAATACAACATATTCAATTACAAATTTTGAGCAAATTTGCAATATTCGATTCCGAAACCAATCCAAAGAGGGACGCCAATAAATTATTTTACCGATTAAAATTTCATGTCAGCTCAATAACAACGTTATAATAAATAACAATACGTTTGGTCAATGCTAATATTCGACAATAACACAACACGTCTAGTTCGTGATTAAAGTTAATAAACGAATACGAAAAAAATGATTTTACTTCCACATTCATTGAATATTATCTCATCATTTTTCTATTTTTAATTTTGCAGATATAAATGACAACAGTCACAACGGCTAACGCATAAAATATTGTGAATGGTGGTGGTCATCCGTGGTGTCAGTGAATTCTCTATAGAGAATTATTATACAGTTGTGCCCGTAATGTAAACTGATGCTTATCAAGTAAACGTGTATTCTGAAATCGATTACTCATGCACTATACATGTATATACAAAGTTTGTTCCAATCAAAAGACAAATACGTGTTAATTCAATGTGTGTTACTCCTAATATAATCATATTCGTACGAAGAAAAATAAAATGAATTTTCAATTTCGGTTCGCAATAAAATCGATTGACTAGTTTACCACATAAAATCGTTGTGCAATATTTTTTCCAAATGGTATTCAATGGATTAAATCTATGATAATGTTGATCAAACGAGATTCAAACAAATCAATTGAACTAAATTTATATGTGACATAAAACGAAATATTTTCTGGGATTACATATATACATGAAACGGCAGCAACGAACCACTTATATGTATATATAACACACCAAATCACCGAGAACGAACGAACGAACGATCGAACGAAACAATTATTCTGAATTGCAAAATACGCGAAGAAATGAATATGCAGGCCAAGCAACGAATTCACAATCAACCGGATCGAATGCATGTTATGTATGCAAGCATGAAATCCACACGAAATAAATCGGTAATGTCGTCGCAGCGAAAGCGTCACGCTTGTTTTTGTCACGTATTCCCAGTCGGCCATAGCACATTTAAGTCACTGTTGCTCTTTGGATTTTTGCTCATTGCATTCAACTACTGTGTCAATGACACTGTGGCATTCAATTTGGAAAATCGCCTACCAATTGTTAAGTATGGCGACGCCGATACATATTTTGGATACTCGGTTGCCGGTCATGAGATTGGCGATGATGAAGACGATCTTCCTACTGTGAAATGGTGAGTCATTTTTAATTAACCACTTTCACATGATTCAATCATGGTATGACTTCTAGATTATTGGAATAGAAACACTTTCGATACACTTTCTGTAGTTGCGTTAGTCATTCAAGTAATATGCACAAAACATTTTCGATTAATCATAGTATCTCCATCGAATCAGTTTTAATTTCCAACATTCAGTATAAATTATCTATTGCTGTATCGTTGAACTTCATTGGCGTTCAATTTTCCCTCTACTCGTCTCTATAACTCAATATTTCTTCTCTCTCAGTCTAATATTGTCTCCGTCACAAGTATGAACAATGTTCAAGTGATGGGAACACACAGAAGTTATCCTATTCCGTTTAATCCATTGAATGAATGAAACAATTTCTAAAATTAGAATAAAAATGCTATATTTTAGTTCTTTTATGATTCATATTTTGAGCCGCATCGAATCGTTTGGTACTGGTTTTTCTCTGGGTATGGCATTGAAATCCATTATTTTTATTACAGTACTTTCGCCCGTCCTCTCCTCCATTCTACATTCGAACTGTATTCACCCTATCTCTATTGGTTGTCGAATGTGCGTATAGCAGCAGCATCGTTTGGTCCCTCTCTTTTGCTCGTTTCGACTCATCAAAGAAACCGAAACCGAATTTATTCTTGAAACTGGCGACTGACTCAAAGCAGTATGATTTAATAACCGAAAACTCAATACAAATGAGAAAGTAATAATCAGACCAAATGAAACCAATTGACATTTCTTCATCGGCGTTAAAGACGTGATGTTTATGTTCCATCATTATTATTCTGACACTTGAAAGCTTGAAGTACTCTATGTTTATGTGGCGTGTCATTGTTTGGCTAATGCTAGAATATACCGTCCCTCCCTCGTTCCACTGTATTTTTCGATAAATTTTTGCTGACTAAATAAATCACACTTGGAAATCGCAATCATTTTCTTTCTTCCTCCCAAAACTTATTCACATTTGAAGAGTCTCTTCGGTCGACTACAACAATCGATAAAACTCCAGATTTTATAGTATAAAGTTCTGTGGAGCCAGCGTTTCTTTTCGTCTCGATGTGCTTTGTATTGTCCATTGGCGCACACACAAAAAAGAGTATATCGGTAAATCACATCCGGCTGTAAATGCAATTGCTAAAACAAAAAAGAAAACCAAATGATTCAAATTTTATTTCAAATGAATGTAAAACCAACCGAAAAAATGCAAATTGTGGAAAAAAATAAAATCCAAATATTTGGATTGGGAATTTGAATAACCGCATTTCTATTCAAAGTAGATGCATTCGGTGCATTATGTTGAATGAAGTGGAAAGTCAAGAATGAAGAATGAGAGCCGGGTAACGTACACGTATGGTACCGTTTTGGCTTCCGCATCAGTCGCTGCTTCGTCAATTCAACAAAATATGTGCTACTTCTCGGTAACTTCGATCCATTACGTTACGCATCGCAATCTCTCTACTCCATTCAAATAAGATGAATCTGGGGAGTGAATGTAAACAGAAACAAAACAAACCTCAATAAAATTTGTAAGGCGTATGCATGGCTGTTCAACAACCGGTAATACACCATTGTTGTTAGCTTGCAATACATATATCATCACCATTATCACCACAAATCTTCACCATGGACCGCAAAGAGAGATTGAATCATTAGTACCGTTCTGAGAGCGCGTAAAAAACGCTTTCCAAACAACAACAACAACAAAAACTGGCCACCAGCAATAATATTGATCCGTATGATTTCGAAACGTATTGATGTTGAGCAATATATGTATTAGACGCGAAACGCGTTTACTTATTTGAATTCAACTGGTTTTGTTTGAACACATACCAATAGAAGGCAACAATAAGATGACGAACGAAAGAAATGCATCTTATGTGTACTAATACTCACATTAAAATGCAATGTATTCATCGTCTAGTCACCTTCTTATTCATATCAATCCCATTTATCAGAGAAGGAAGAGAGAGTACAGCCATTGTTGGCTACTTTTATCGTTTGTGGGAATATGTATGCTAGCTGATTTTAGCTCGTTAGAGAATGAGAGAATGCAACCGAGTTGATGACGATTGCTCTTGTTATTATAGTGTCGTTTTGTCATTTATCTCCTTCACTCTCCACCAACCACATCGACTGCAGTAGTTTTTCTGTGTTCGATCGTTTTTCATAAATTACTTCAAAAACTGGAATACCGACAACGAAACAAAAAAGAACAGGACAGTGAAAAACGGTCGATTTGTAATAATCAATGCTTTCGTCCCTTGTTTCGCTCGTGCTGTAACATAACAATCAATTTGGCATTGTGCGATTGGAAATAGAACAAAACAAAAAAGACGTCGATAGAATGGAAGAATATTGTGTATTGAGATGGTGGCCGGTTGTACGACGTGAATAGCAACTTGAATAGCACTCTGTGCTAGGACATATGCGCATAGAATGCATTCAAGTTAAACTATCGGTGCTATGGAAGATAGTGATCAGTGATGTGTTGAATCGTCATAGTTGAATCGGTTTTAAACCATCTAGCCTCTCTTGCTCCCTCGCTACAGACGCTGTTTATGTAATGGCAATTAAAGTGGTTAGTGTTTTTCTGTCATGCAATATACACTTTGGACCATTTCGCATGAGCGCAATTTTGCAGCTTTTTTTTGCACTTCGACAGAGAAAACGACGATGATTTTCGTTCATCATTGCATTGAATCTGTCTTGGATTCAGTCTCTGAACTCTTTGTTGAGCACTGTGGTTGAGAATCAAAGAAAAAAATAACAACAGAAAGTTTCTGCCATTTTGTATTCCAAATGCACCATTCAACAATGTAAATAGCAGCCATTCACTTAGTTTGTGTTTGTCTAGTAGTTGTTCGTTTTGCTTGTTCTAAGTATATGTGTGTGATTTGGCTGTGTTTTTGTATTCATCATTGTAGTCCGTACCTTTTTTCTTAGTTTATTCATCGGTTTTTCTGTTGAAAAACACAAAATAAGCAAACAAGAACTTTTTTTTTGGTGTATACACGGCTATATTGTTCGAAAATCCTTGGAAATCACGTTGAGACACTATCCAAAATCAATATGCGTCGAACAGATGCATCGCAGCGTTTTCGCACTAACTGAAGTGAATCAATTGTCTGATAATATTATGATGATGTATGTATGCGTGATAATGGAAAAAAGAGAATTTAAAAAAGCGGAATAATGCGCAGCGCGTAAAATGAACCGTTAGCTAAAAACTGGAAACTTTTTCACAAATGATTTATAAGGCAAATTTTTCTCTGCTCTTCTTAATTTTTATTTCTTCTTCGGTTCAATATATATTTAAACACTGTGTAGCTGTACTCATAAATATTTACTTATCTCATTTTTCATCACTAAGAAATTTCACGCACACATGCAAATTCAAGCCAGAACTTGCATTCACTTGTGAAAATGACTTTTGTCTGGGACCGACTTTCTTCTCTCCTCCTCGGGTGATTATGATTGTACATCGACGATAATTGTAATTAGCGTATGTGTTCGCGTCAAATGTGCGGTCTTGTGAATAAAGCGTTCTTTGGTCGCTCGGTCTCTTGTTGAATGAGGCGAGAAAAGAAACCGAATTACAATGCCGAGGCATTATGTTAATTTTTACATAAAACAAAACGATGAAGTGAGACACGAGAATTTGTTTTCGTTGTGTAGAGAGAGAGAGAGAAAAGCGTTGGTTCAGTTTTTAATGACGAAAATGAAATGGTTTGAAATTATGGCTTTCCATTGTAGTGGGATGGATTCCGCAGAGGAAATGAATCTGTAGAACTGAAATCAGACACATTCTCGACGCTCTCATAAGATTAACGATGGAAGTGAGTGTTTATAAGTTTCGCCTTCCTTTTTATCGACTTGATAATTTAATTTTATACGCTATGGGTTAGCCCAAGTCGGGCTTACCACGCATATCTTGGAAATCCGCTTCACCACACTATGTCTCGGATGGCGGAATCAATGTTCCGTTGATGTGTTCTAAGGGCATTTCGCTCAAAAACAAACTTACTGCGAGATGTGTCTTGTCAAGATAAACGACATAATATGATAATTATTTTTTTTGCAATTGTTGAATTAATGAATTCGCAATGTTGCAAAGTGCCAATCATGTCGACCAATAATACTCATTCATTTCACATGCAAATCAATGCATAAATATCCTCTCTCGCTCAACATACATGCAAAAATAATAATGACAAAGAAGAAAATGTAAGGGAGTACACCAAAACACAGATTCGTTGAAGAACTGCGAATTATAAGTATAAATATATGTACGTGTACGACATATATGTAGGAGGTTATTGGTTATTTCCAATAACACAAAATATTCCATTTCTGCACTTTGGTCACATATTTGGACGAAAAACACACACAAAACCGCTTAATATTGAAAGAGACGTTTGACTTTTCCATTTGGAATTGTGTTTATTTTAACACGTAAGCGTAAAGTGAAAAAATCAACGGCTTTCGTTAATTTAAACAAGAGCCACACAAATCTCGGAAGACGAGAGGCAACACCTCAAATGTCGGCATATTTTCCGAAAAAATTGAAAAGATGTATAAAAGGAACGAATAACGAAAAGAAGAGAAGCGAGGCAAAGTGCATTCCATACTACACACCAGCAAAATGCACTTGTCGCAATCATGTCTTATACTCTTACAGCATTCGAAAGGCTCTGTACCTTTGTCCTGTTCTCTCACACTCTCTTGCCCACGTTGTCGACGATGTTTTAAAGTTACTGTAAAAAGTAAATGCTGCACACCAATAAAGCCGTTGTTATTTTATCGAATCTGTATATTACCTTAGCGTCTATCCGACCGTTTTAGTGCGCATCGCTTCGCTCGTTTTTTTCGTTTCGTTTTCGGCCTTTGTTTCAGTTCTTTGAATGGGATCGATTTTCATATTTTTATTTTAAAAAAATTCTTTCGTTGTGTTTTTTTTCTAACAAAGCGAACTTATGTTGTATTCACATTT